TAAAGCATATTAGTTAGGGAGAGCTTGATGAACGGACTGAGGGGTTGGAGGAGTTTGTTTACCTTGTAAGATGATACAAATTTTATTTTCTTGCTGAAGGTAACCTGATCTATGAACTCCAGCCTGACATCATACACTCATTCTGAATACACATGCATATGTAATAATCTGTCCAGGAGTGTGTGGAGAAAGAAACGTGAATCTTCATGGCCGTAGTGGCTCTATGCTGACACACAGATCAATGCAAACAAGTTTGGACCTGCAGAAAAATACAGAAGTTTCACATAGTGGTGAAAAATAAGTTTTCTTCACTATTGACTAATAATCAATTTGCCTCAATGTAATAGAGTGGACAAGTAAGTAGGACACTTGTTTGTGTCATGTATACAGAAGTCTAAGGCATAATTTAGCTGGTGTCATCTTACCACCTTCAGTAATATTGGAGATGAAAGCTCTCTGGCGTCAGCTTAAATTGGTGATGATGAAGATTCGGTCTTGCCCATGAAAACTCATATGCCTGTTGAAAAGGGGGTTTACTGGTCTTAGCAGATCACCAGGCAATGTTTTGGCCACAGACCAGATAAACCAGCTGAACAACAGCTTTGCCAGGTTAGCAAGCCATGTTTGGTTTAGGGCATGATTCCCAGTAGGGGTATGTGCGATATTGACAAAAAAATGATATCTCGATATTTATTGGGATTTTTTTTTTTTCGATAATGGTAAAGATATATTTTTCTGAGTTTGTTTTCATGCTTGTACCTTGGCTGGTTTAGACCTGTCATGGATAAATAAATATGACACTAAAGCCGGCAGTAGGTGGCAGCAAGTCCGTGTATTAATGAGTGATTCATTGAATCGTTATTTCAAACGATTTGTTCAAAATGGCTGATTCAAACGAATGAGTCACTGAATCAATGACTCGAACAATTTGTTAAAAAAACAGATTCAAGGAACAAATTTTAAATTCCTATTACTTAACTAGATCATATCTTGTAAATATAACAAAGTAAAAACCCATACAGGGATATTTTTCTTTCGAACCCTGAATTATAGTAGCACTCTAACTGCATTCTAAACAGGCTTCATCATGCAGTGAATGCTTTTGGACTCTGAAGACATGTTTTTAATTTTTTTTTCAAAATGAGTGAACGGTAAATATCGCACAGTCCTAGTTCCCAGGGTTTGAAAACCACTGAGGAATAACTGTGATTATTTATAAAAGGCTGTAATGTAATTAAAGAACTATATAGTCTGTTGCACTGCATGTTTCAGAGTGAAGAGCGGCACTGTGTTAATTTACACTTTTGCAGTTTGCCGTGTTTTTGCTCGATAAATCCTGTTTCTCACAAACTTCACAACCTGTTAGTTTAATGTGCATTTGGGAGTGTTAATGTGCTCTATAGGTTCACTAAAGTAACATTCATATTTACATAATTTTTAACATGTTTGTGCAAAGAAGTTTGTAGCATTTAACCAATTTTCTACCAAAATAAATGCTTGAGGATTTGAACGTTTGAAGACATAAATCTAAGACATAGATATTTGAATTGTTACTTGAAGTGTTAGATGGTTCTTGTAAAGAGTGAACCCAAATGTGAACACCCTTAAAATTTAACTATATACATTAGCATTAACTATGTTGTTAAATTATTGAAATCTCAGGGGCTACTTCAAGAAGATATTTTAGATATTTTATGTATAAGGAGTATTTTCCCAGCTTATTTATTTAAGCTTATTTTTATGTATAAGGAGAAACGGATTTCATAATGTTGACTAGTTGTTGGCTAATAGTTGATCAAATCTGTCTGAGGCTCCTTTACTTCGCTTGAACTGTAAATACATTAATGGTCATGTTAACTGAAGTTTGACCTGTATTTCACAGCAATGCATACCTGTCTTTTTTGTCAATATAATCGTAAACTAATTTCACCCCTCAAACCTTTACCTGTTCTTAATGTAGGCCACATAAAATAGGGTATAGATTTTCTGTCTGCAGGCCTCAGTAAAACTGCCAAAAATATTTTCTTTTCACCCTAGCAGGAGTATGCTAGCTCAAGACCAACATTGTCCAAGGTCAACACTGGTGTATGCAGTTAAGCAAAGAGAGATAATGGGAATAGTGACTGAGAGGGAAAAAGAGGCTCAAAATAGGTTTTGCTGTAGCTTCGTGGAACATCGTGGAGAGGAGAGAGAGACAGAAAGAGAAGGGGCAGTTGAGTTTGTGTACAGCTGCTATCTGGGTGGAAGAATCTGGCCTGAGTTAGTGACTCTGTTGGGGTTTGCTACGGACATACACGGACATGAAGACCGGTACCGAGACACTCCTTAACATTTCTATCCGGCTACCCCTCCACAGCCTGTCGGTCATACATCTGTAGAGATACAAGCCTAGAACAGAACATGAAACTCACTGGAGGCAATCCTACAAATAAGTCTCATATAACTCAAAGATTGGTAAATTGTGTGAAGTAATTTAGATGGAACTGGAAAAGCTAGGCTTTGATAGGCTGTATGGATTAGTAAAATAGAAATTAGATGTGGAAAAAATAGAAAAACTCTTACACTGTACAAAGTAACAGCATTTTGGTCAAAGGTCAACAAAGGTCTTCGACAATGCGGAACCATTGTTATTTTTTCTGTTCTACCAACTGTGTCACACCTGTCCATGACCATCAAGGAATTAATTTATTTGTTTATTGAGAATAATGGCTTTGAAAGAGAGAAA